CTTTAGTTTTAAAAAACTTGCATTTCTTTCATTTATTAATAATAAAACAAGCAGATGGTAGGACCAGAAAGCCTCATCGCTATAGACCAGGAACTATAGCTTTATGTGAAATCCACCAGTACCAAAAGCATACTGGATTATTGATAAGAAAATTGCCTTTCCAACGTTTAGTAAAAGAAATTGCTCAAAACATAAAACCTGGTTTTCGTTTCCAGTCAAGTTCCATTGGTGCTTTGCAAGAAGTAAGTTTTTCTTCATTATATATTCACACACACACACAGAGAAATACATGTCCAGCCACTTCATTGAAACAAAAGTTTGACTATATAATTACAATGAGTTTATTAATTATTTTAGGCTTCTGAATCATATTTAGTTTCTTTATTTGATGACACAAATTTAGCAGCTATTCATGGTAAGCAATTCAAACAGTATTTGTAGATACACATAATCATTATTGAATTGATTAATTAATTAATTGTTATTTTTGTAGCTAAAAGAGTCACAATACAACCAAGGGATATGCAACTTGCATGTCATATACGTGGTAGATAATATTTAATTTTCATAGTAATAGTAATAATTATTACAGTTTAGTACATTTATTTCAAAACCAAAAAAATAGTTCGGTAATTAGTATCACTAAACAAAAATTGCTCTAAAAAAAAACTACTTTAAACTTTTAAGATGCATTATATATTATAAATATATATCAAAGTAGTATTTCTTATTTTATTTTACAATTTTAACTTTCAGACTTGATCGATGAAAATAAAATAAATTGCTAAAATATTTGAATTTTTTGATTAGTGCTTTGATGGATCTATATATTAATAATTTTTGCCCATAATAGTGTGGGACAGGTGATAATGGTTAAAAAAACACAACACTTATACATATTTTTTTATCTTTGACCTAAAATATCATTATTTTTGGAATTAACATAACTTTTGAAACATTTAAACATTGAAAATAAACTTTCAATCTTTTATTTTTAACAAGGAATTTAATTTCACCAAGGTTTCGACCTTCCACAATAAAAAAATTGCTCAAGTTAAATTATGACCCAAAACTATTCACTAGTACATAAGACCTAAAAAGTCTGATCCATGCATCATAAAACATTACCGCTAAACACCTTTGCTCTCCCACATTGCTACCTGATAGCACCACAGTTGTAAAGAATTTTCTGGAAAATTATGCTGAAGTCCATGGATTACCAAGCCCAGGAAGAAGTATCTATAGAATAACCCAATCAATTATATTTTTACCAGCTGAAATGAGTTATAAATCAGTATATAGACATTTTCTAGCTGGATTAGAAGAAGATAGCAAATTGAAATCCTTAAAATATGATGCATTTAGAAAACTATGACATCAATTAACACCAGAAGTTCAAATTATGAGTCCCAGGACTGATCTATGTGATACTTGTCAACATTTTAGAAATGGTTTACATTATAATGCTCACCAAGAAGAAGAAGCTAAAGATTTGCTCAAAAGATTTAAAGAACATCTGTCTAAGGCCAAATTAGAGAGAAATTATTATAATAAAAACACCAAATTAGCAGAAGAACAAAGAAAACTAGTTGATCAACATTCTTCCAGGGGTAAAACACAATATTGCAACATTGATGCTACTGCTCATTATAGTTATGATTGAGCCCAAAATGTTCATGTACCACATTCTGATCAGCAAGTAAGTAAAATTTA